TGACACATGCTACAAAATACATGAACCTTGAAAACATGCCAACTGAAAGAAGCCAGGCACAAATGAACAAATGTGGTATGATTCTACTGAAATGAAATAACCTGGAATAGGCAAATTCACAGAGAGAGAAAGTAGAATAGAGGTTACCGGGGGTGGCAGGGAGGAGGGAATGGGGAGTTACTGCTTGATGAGGTGATGAACATTTTTGGAAACAGATAGTGGTGACAATTTCACAACATTGTGAAAATAATTAATGCCATTGAGTAATGCATTCAAAAATGGTTAAAATCAGCCGGGCAAGGTGGCTCACACCTGTAATCCCAGCACATTGGGAGGCCCAGGTGGTTGGATCATCTGAGGTCAGGAGTTCGAGACCAGCCTGGCCAACATGGTGAAACCCTGTCTCTACTAAAAATACAAAATATTAGCCAGGTGTGGTGGCAGGCCCCTGGAGTCACAGCTACTCAGGATGCTGAGGCAGGAGAATTGCTTGAACCTGCAAGGCAGAAGTTGTAGTGAGCCAAGATCGTGCCATTGCACTCCAGCCTTGGTGACAAGAGCAAAACTGTGTCTCAAAAAAAATTTTTTTTTTAAATGGTTAAAATGGCAAATTTTATACTATCTTTATTTTACCACAATTGAAAAAAGTAAACAGGCTGGGTGCAGTGGCACACACCTGTAATCCTAGTACTTTGGGAGGCCGATGTGGGTGGATCGCGAGGTTAGGAGATCACAACCATCCTGGCTAACAAGGTGAAACTATTTTTAGAGACTAAAAATACAAAAACTTAGTGGGCACCTTATAGTCCCAGCTACTCGGGAGTCTGAGGCAGGAGAATCACTTGAACCCAGGAGGCAGAGGTTGCAGTGAGCCGAGATCATGTCATTGCACTCCAGCCTGGGCGACAGAGCGAGACTGTCTCAGAAAAAAATAAAAAAGTAACTAAACAACAACAACAAAAAGAAATTGAGCCAGTTCCAGCCTAGCTTAAGGAGTAGAGAAGCCAGATGTTGGGGTCTTAGAAGAGGGGAATCAGACAGAATCAGAGAAGCCATAGTGGGGTCCAGTCCAACCCTTACCAGGCATACAAATACTCCCCTGATGTGTGTCCAGCCTCTGCATAAGCATCTGCTCCCTCACAAGAAGATTACTTTTAAGGCAGCAGAATCTAACCTCAGAGTTGTGGTATCTCTGCAACTCCCAATCCCTGGATTTCTGGGTGGTCACAGTGACACTCAAGAGAACACTAGCATGGTGCAAAGGCAGAGCGGGTGAGAGAGCTTCAAAGCAGGGCACAGGACCCACCTAGCAGCTGGCATCTGGAGTGGGGTGAAAATGTTTTCTAAAGACTCAGATCAAATGTAATTGAACACCAGGAGCCATAATTGCCTCCTTGGAGAAATGTGTGATTATCTAGAAAGGAAGCAATAGCTTTGGCAGAATCTAACATTGTATTGAAATTGGTTGCTTTGTTCACCTGCTGTATATAGGCTACATTTCTATACATGTGCTGTTGACAAAAACCAGATGACAAATTTTCTCCCAGGAAGGAGTCAGCTGGGCTCTTGGCAACGCCTCTCGATGGACAGTTTTGGTGGGAAGTGGAGACCAGCTAACGACTATTGATTGATAACTGATGTTCAGAGGGTCTTAGCCGGCAGGAGGAGGCAAGGCCTCAGGTACAAGAGGACCATAGAGAGAGCGCGTGCCTGCCAAAAAGCCAGTTCTTCCCTTTTGGGGCAGGATAAAGTCAAACACAATAGGAGTTCTCTGGCTGCCATCTTATTCATCTTAGGAATTCATCAGAAAAAGCATCCAGAATGCAACAACCCAAAGGAGGCTTGATTTTTGTACTTAGTACAAAGCTACAAAAATTAAAGCAAATAATGACACCTTTGTTTTTGTTTTATGCTATCATATGCAACTCAAGAATAATGACTTTGGTTTTTGTTTTTTTGAGATGGAGCCTTGCTCTGTTGACCGGGCTGGAGTGCAGTGGCTCAATCTCAGTTCACTGCAACCTCTGCCTTCTGGGTTCAAGTGATTCTTGTTCCTCAGCCTCTCAAGTAGCTGAGATTATAGGTGCGCACCACCACACCTGGCTAATTTTTGTATTTTTAGTAGACACGGGGTTTCACAATGTTGGCCAGGCTGGTCTCAAACTCCTGACTTCAAATAATCCACCCATCTCAGCCTCCCAAAGTGCTGGGATTACAGATCTACAGGCATGAGCCACTGTGTCCAGTCAAGAATAATGACATCTTATAATCAAAGCGTTCTTGATGGTCTACGATGCATTTGCAGTTTTATCTTTTCATTTACTCCTCACAGAAACTCCCTAAGGAAGGGAAGATGTGATTATCTTCATTGTTTTGACAAGTAAGCTGAGGTTTAGAGTAATTGAGTGACTTTGCCAAGATCACACAGTATGAAGTGACAGGATGGTGCCCCATACCTACATATAGTTGAACAAACGGGTGATAGTTCTAAGGGACTTGATCTGAATGTATATCAGAGAATGTAGGAAATGTAATGAAGTCAACCTTCTACCTCATCCTATTTCCTCCGAAGGCAAACACTTTACTTACATAATAATTTCTTAGAAACAGTAAAAAACAATAGAGGCAAGCCCATTTCAAGACACAGTTGTGGGGAGAGCTAAGTTTATGGATCATAGAGAGCGTGTTAGAACTTTGGGTAAAAGGATGCGAGTCTCTGATTTATCATTTCTTAGAAACTGCAATCAAAACAAAAAAACACAAACTTGTGCCTTTACTAAGATATCCCTCAATATCTGTCTGATAGGCAGAGGGTCTCTCTGTGTATCAGACATCAGAGAAATACTCCAAACCTCCGATAGGGGCAGGTAGCAAAGCATATTTAAGGACTTGTTCAGCTCCCAGCAATGACGCTCCTCCCAAGGGCCATTACTGCTTTCCTCAGATACTTTCCTGATGGGCAAACTCATCATCCTTCAGGGCTCGTGGGCTATGAGAAGTAGGCCGAAATGCCAATTGCTAATAAAATGTCTTTTCTGAGAATGAAGCTTTGAAATAACACTGGAAGTCAGCGAGGAGATGCGATTCATTTTACAAAAATTCATTTCTGAAGCACGATAATATTAAGTGAGATAAAGCTATATGAGAAATGAGAAATTAGGTAATAATTTCATTATTTTCCATAAGCCTACAGCTATAATTCAGGATCATCACATTTATTTCAAAAGTTGTATTTCCATCCCTTTTGATATTGCCTGGGTCTGGAAGGGATAAGGGCCTTATAAAAAATTCACCTTTTACCACCCCCTAGCCACATAGATAGTGGTTAGATGACCTATCCTTATGACATTTGCAGCCTTTTAATTTAATTGCCACCAATTTTTCCCCTCACCAGATCCGTGCCCTTGCAATGTGCTGCTGCAGATTCTCTTGTCAAGAGGTAAAGCCTATTTCTCAATCCTGAGAATCTGGGTTGGCCTGTGACTTGGTTGGCCAATGGAACGTTAGCAGAAATAATGCAGACACAGGCTTGGAAATTACTTGTGCACTGGGGCTTGCTCTCTCGCTACATTTGTTACCCTGAGGACACCAGATGAACGAGCCCAAGGTGACCTGCTGGAGGGATGGAGGCCATGTGGAGGGGAAGCAAGGTGCTCTAGCTAATAGCCAGCCAGTTGTCAGACGTGTGAAGGAGATCGTCTGGGACCAGCCAGCCTCCCAGCTGACCTGGTAACTTGCCGCAGACACATGAGTAAGCCCAGTCAAAGCCAGTAGAACTGCCTAGCCCAAATTGCCAACCCATAGAATCGTGAGCTACGTATACATAAATGCTTACTGCTGTAAGCCCTAAGTTTTGGGATGGGGCCAAACAATGGCTCCTGCCTGTAATCCCAGCACTTTGGGAGGCCGAGGCAGACAGATCACTTGAGCCCAGGAATTCAAGACCAGCCTGGGCAACATGGTGAAACCTCATCTCTACCAAAAAAAAACAAAAACGAAAAACAAAAATTATCCAGGAGTGGTGGTGCATGCTTGTAGTCCTAGGTACTTGGGGGGGCTGAGGTGGGAGGATTGCTTGAGTCTGGAAGGTGGAGGCTGCAGTGAGCCAAGATCAGACCACTGTACTCCTGCCTGGATGACAGAGTGAGACCTTGACTTAAAAAATAAAAATAAAAGTAAAAGTTTTGAGACGGTTTGTGGCACAGTAGAGGCTAACAGATACATTAAATTATACTTATTTGGAAGCTACTAGGTGACATACTGAGAGCAAAGGTTCTCTCTGGATCCAGTTCTATCATGGGCTCATTATGGTATTTACCTCCCACCTGTGCTTCAGCTTTTCCGCTTCAAAGAAGGCAGTACTTCCTTGAAGGCCGGCAGTAATCCTAATTCAGATCTATGTACAGCCTTCCTATCTCCTTTTTCTCTTTTCTCTTCAGCAGTTTTACCAGAAGCCACTGTAAAGATGATATTCTGGCACGTTTTTCCTTCTTTCTTTTTTTTTTGAGACAGAGTTTTGCTCTTGTTGGCCAGGCTGAAGTGCAATGACGTGATCTTGGCTCACCACCACCTCTGCCTCCCGGGTTCAAGCGATTCTCCTGCCTCAGCCTCCTGAGTAGCTGGGATTACAGGCCTGCACCACCCTGCCCAGCTAGTTTTGTATTTTTAGTAGAGATAGGGTTTCTCCATGTTGGTCAGGCTGGTCTCGAACTCCTGGCCTCAGGTGGTTCACTTGCCTCAGCCTCCCAATGTGCTGGGATTATAGGCATCAGCCACTGCACCTGGCTGACACGTTTTTTTCAAATGAGTTAATAATATATGTTAAGTGCTTTAAAAACTCTAAGATGTGATATGTGTGAAATGTCATATTTATTGCTTCACAATGAATAGAGTTATACAACTGTTATAACAATCAGAATGGGCCCTTCTAAGAGTTACTCTTCTTCATCGAGAGTCCTCTGTCTGTTTAGCAGCACCTGGTGGAAAGTTTCCCAACTTACCTGAGACTTGAAGTAAGTTTCTTGTGGGGTGGCAAGTACATCTGCAGAAGCAATGTCTAAATGCATGAGCGTCTGGCGAAAAGAAGGTCGGTTTCGAGGTTTACTCTGCCTAAGAGTGAAAAAGACAGTTTGTGCATTTCAGAAGTTGTGTCCAGGAGAATGAAGATTTTATTTTATTTTATGAAACTTCAAAATAGATATATCTGAGTAAAACCAACTGTACTCTATTATATCAGAATAGTATAACTGAACAGTATCTCGGTACAGTTTTAACATTTAAAAAAATTTATTTTGGCTGGGTGCAGTGGCTCACGCCTGTAATCCTAGCAGTTTGGGAGGCTAAGACAGGTGGATCATGAGGTCAGGAGTTTGAGACCAGCCTGGTTAAGAGAACAGCCTGGCCAATATGGTGAAACCCCGTCTCTACTAAAAATACAAAAATTAGCCGGGCATGGTGGCGCGTGCCTGTAATCCCAACTACTAGGGAGGCTGAGGCAAGCGAATTGCTTCAACCAGGAGGCAGAGGTTGCAGTGAGTCGAAGATCATGCCACTGCACTCCAGCCTGGGCGACAGAGTAAGACTCCTACTCAAAACAAAAAAAAAAATTATTATTATTTTTAGAGACGGGGTTCTCACTACGTTGCCTAGGCTGATCTCAAACTCCTGGGCTCAAGTGATCCTCCTGCCTTGGCCTCCTAAAGTGTTGGGATTATGCGTGTGCACCATGCTTCGCCCTGCAGTACAGTTTTAAATTTATATTTTATTTTATGTTTTAAAATTAGAGATGCTATGTTGCCAGGCTGTTCTTGAACTCCTGGCCTCAAGCGATCCTCCTATCTCGGCCTCCCAAAGTGTTGGGATTACAGGTATGAGCCACTGTGCCTGGCTGCCCTGCAGTAAAAGTTTGATATACTGAAGAGCAAAAGGAAAATGTAATTATGAGATACCTCTAATGATGAAATGGAAATCTAGGATCAGTGACCTATTTCATAGTAGCCCATTAGGACTAGCAAAGAAATAATAGCTATCATTTACTGAGGCCTACTATTTCGAGATAATCATTCCAAGTTCTTTATTTCTAAATTTCAATTAATTACAACAGAGTACTTCCATGAATTGGTGTTGTCTCTGTTTTACAAATGAGAAAACTGATACTCGGATAACATGCCCAAAACTGCACAGATAGAAGAGGTCAGAGCTAGTATATGAACCCAAGATTCTCCCACTCCAAAGCTTCTGGTCTTTCCACCACCAGGAGATTTACTCCAAATACACGTTAGAGACCTCCCTATGGCTGTAGAGACAATGTTCTTACCATGTCTGTTTCATAAGGATTTTGAATCCATCAGGGCAAGTGGAAGGAACTGGGAGGTGGAGGCTATTGCTTCCAACGCCCCAGATAATGGCTGAAGAATCTACATCTTTGTAAGGGATCTCTCCTGTCAGCAGCTCCCAAAGCACCACTCCGAAAGACCTAGAGTAGCACCAGGAACATATACAGAAGATGTTTCAGAAAGACTGATTCTTATTTTAGTTCTTTATTAATTTTAATCAAATTAGTGCATATGCCCAGTTTAAAATTCTACTACTGCTACAAGAAAGACAGAAACATCTGGAACAACTCTAAAAAAAAAAAAATCTATGTGGGTTAATCAACACCACCAGAAATGAAAACCTGAATAATTAACTCTAGTGTGTGAACCGACAGCCAGAATAATGGACTGAACAAGAAATCCAGAAATAAACCAAATACATTTAGGAATTGAGTGTATGACAGAAGTGACATCACAAGCCAGCAGGGAAAAATTGATTAGTCAATAAATGTCATTGGAACAGATGGGAAAAAAATTAAATCTATAACTCACCATAAATTAAGATAAATTTCACATGAATCAAAGATTTAAATAGAAAAATGAAACTGTAAAAATCTAAAAACAAGGAGTTAAAAAATTATCTTAGCATGTTAAAGGCTTTTTAAACCATGAAATCTATAAGCCATAAAAGGAGAAATTGAGAAATTAAACTGCATTTTAAAAATCTGACATGGAAAAAAAATACCAGAAGCAAGATAACAAAATGTGAACTATCTACAATGTACACAAAACGTAAATCTCCTTAATACATCAAATACTCTGATAAATTATGAGTAAAGATCAGAAAACTGAGCAAAGATTATGAGTCATTCACAAATAAGAAAATACAATGGCTCTTACATGTATGAACAAATGTATAGCGTTACTTATGCTAAGCGGAATGCATCCAAGATACCATTTTTTTAACCTACGTGATTGGCAAAAATCCAAGAGTTTAGCACATTTTGTTGGTGAGACTGAGAAAACACTCTTACATATTTCTGGTAGAACATTAACTAGTAATCCCTAAGGACGGTAATTTGGTAATGATTACCTAAATTACAAATAACCCCACATTTCTATTTTATCCTTATTTACCCTTATTTATCTGCAATTTTGACATGTGCTATTATTTTGATTTTAAGCCTGAAAGTTACTAGTTGCCAATTTTAGGGGTAGAAGAAAAGCAATTAGAGGGGAAAATACTGTTAATAGAAAAGACTTATAACCTCAGAGGAAACCTTTTTCTTGAACAGCCTCTACAGGTTCAATGAACGGCGAAAACAACCTCGTACATCTTGAACATGTCTAGAGAACATAACTGTATCACAGCAAAGTACATTATTGATATGGTGACCTGAGTCATTGAGAATAGATGAGAATTATGTAACACATTTTAGAAAGACTTCTATACTAAATGATCATTTGAAGTAAACTTTCAGTTTTCTAGAAAGTTCAGCATATTCTCTGAGGTCCCCCAAACTGATGATTTACTGAGTAGATAGTCACCCAAATTCCCCCTAATCCTTCTCCCCATATATCGCCATTCTGGGTAGTACCTCAGATAATATGAGGCTGAAATCAACCAAAAGTGAGCAATGCTAATATTCTGGAAAAGTAAGTGCTGAAGGAAGACAGTGCTAATAGGGTAAAAATGGGAACAGGCTTTTTAGTTGGCACGGATGGCGCCACTCACCATATATCCACCTTTTCAGAGACAGGTTCATTTCGTATCACCTCTGGCGCCATCCACGCGACTGTGCCAGCAAATGACATCTTGGTACTTTTATCGCTGAGTTCCTTAGACGTACCAAAATCTGAAATTTTTACTGCGTCTGTGTGGGTCACTAAAACACTTTAACAAGAAATAAAGAAAACATCCAGATCGTTAGTACTAATGAAAACCAAGACTCTGAATGGCTGAAACTGAACACTTTATTTGCTGCTTCCTATCATGCAGCCTTCAGCTAGCAGTTTCCAGTGTTACCGGGGCACTGGCTATAGACTAGAAATAGCATCATTCATACTGAGGCAGCTTAGCGTGATGGGTTTTTAACACCTTGTCTTACTCTGCCTCTTCCACATGGTATGTGATCTTTGCCAAATTACTTAACTCTTCCTTTTTATTTTTCTGAGACAGACGTTTGCTCTTGTCACCAAGACTGGCATGCAATGGCTTGATCACAGCTCACTGCAACCTCTGCCTCCTGGGTTCAAGCAATACTCCTGCCTCAGCCTCCCAAGTAGATGGGATTACAGGCATCCACCACCACGTCCAGCTAATTTTTGTATTTTTAATAGAGATGGAGTCTTACCACGTTGGCCAGGCTGGTCTCGAATTCCTGACCTCAGGCAACGCACCTGCCTCCGCCTCCCAGAGTGCTGGGATTACAGGTGTGAGCCACCGCGCTCAGCCTTACTTAACTCTTCTAAGCCAGTTTTCTTATGTGTAAGATGGAGACTCTTCAGGCCTTACCCACAATTTGAAAATGCAGAAAATTGTCAACCAGGTTATATTTTTTTCACATATGTAAGGCAAACTCACTTTCTTAATCTCATTTTGTATGAATACAGTAGGTTTTGCTGCACATTTGTTAATGTGGTTGATTTTAGGGTCTCACTGGATGTCTAAGGGAGGGCACTACCTTTCTGAAAACGTCTTGCTTCAAGAGTTTTGGTTAAGGGATTATAGACCTGAAATAACAATCTCACTGAATTTTCAATTGAATTAAATGAGCTAAGATACGTAAGGCACCGTTATCAATAAATATTGGGTTCCATCCTTGCTGGCTTTAGCCAGCCCACGAAAAAGAAACACTTCTTTTAAACCACTTGTTTAAATGATAGCCAACTACTCTCATGAATGAGACCATGACATTTGGGATTCATTCCATTAAAAGGCTAATATATATGCTGGGATTTCACTAGTGCTGATAAGGAAAAGCAGAAATAAATCTAAGCTTAAGTGAGTTCCCCAGCAGTTGTGTTTTACTTGTCACAGTAGTTATCTGAAATGTGACCTGAGGCAGAGTGCTCATGCTAGCCTTAAAGATGAATACAATCTGTGGCAGATCGACAGCTTCACACATTAGATTGAATTCATTTGAAATAACCTGTTCAGAACTTCAGAAAGTTAATGAGTCAGGGTTTCAGAGCCTTGAATGACATCAGGACCTATGTTTAATGATAAGAGGCTTAATCCTTAAATAGTATCAGAATTGAGGAGGCTGTAAAACAGCATCTGACTCTATTCTCTTGCTTCTCCATTTGAACCAGGGATTCCTTCACATTTACCATGCAACACCAATGACTATTTACCAAATAGCTCAGAGCTTACAATTGCTTTTGAATACCATCCTCCAAGCCCTGATTTAGCACCTAATATGTAAAATTTATATAACTTAGGAGTTTTGATTTAACAGCGTCAGTGAAAATGTATAAGGAGGTGGGGCGTGGTGGCTCGCGCCTGTAATCCCAGCACTTTGGGATGGCAAGGTGGGCAGATCACCTGAGATCAGGAGTTCGAGACCAGCCTGGCCAACATGGTGAAACCCCGTCTCTACTAAAAATACAAAAACCAGCTGGGTGTGGTGGCGGGCACCTGTAATCCCAGCTACTGGGAGGCCAACACAGGAGAATCACTTGAACCTGAGAGGCGGAGTTTGCAGTGAGTTGAGATCGGGCCACTGCACTCCAGCCTTATTATGAAATACATGAGACAACTGGAGAATTGATATCATACACCATGAAAGTGGGAGTAGGCAATAAGCCTCTAAAAGAGAGAACTTTTTCTAGGAACTTCCTCTCTGCTTCAGTTGGTGTGACAAGAGAGAATGGACGTGGGAGGACACTAGAGAAATGTAACATAATAACTTTTCTGAAATCTTCTCTGAGACAAAGTTGGGGTCTCAGTACCTGCAGACTTAATGTAGGTAATGAGATCTCCTGTTACAGCATGTCAGATTGTTTTCTGTCTTCCCAAAGTCAGCTTGAAACTCAAAGAAGTCAAAGCTGCTGGAGTTGGGAGTGTTATTAATGATAGAGGGAAAGGCGTACTGGATAACCGATCTACTACTTTGTTCTAGGGCTTCCTAACTCTTTCCCTTTAAGATTAATTCACAAGGAGAACGAGCTGGTTAAAAAGGAGACAACTCAAAGGGGCCTTCGAGTAGTTCATGTACTTTACATGCATGCACTGGACGGCAAAAGCAACAGGGTAAGAGTGCAGTCAGAAGAAATGGACACGACATAATCATGGTTATTTGCAAATAAAGCAAGGAGGACGTTGCTCAGTCAACTAAGCACTATAATAAATATGCTGAGAATCACGGTATAAATAAGGGCTGTTTGAAGTTTATAATGAAGGATTGATGTATACTGTCCATAGAGGAAAGGCGGGATCCATTGTGGATCCCCTGCCTTCACATAATGAGGCAGAATGCAGTAGCCTTTGGCTCAGAAATTCTAGGTTCAAGCCCCATGACTTTGGGCTAAGCTCTAATTTCCTTTATATAAAATAAGAATAACAATACTTGTTACACACCCACACAGTTTTTGCCAGGATCAAAAATGTGATAACGAATCCCCCCAAAACATCATAAACCATGAAAGCACTATATATATATATATATATATATATATATATATATATATATATACACATACACGTAAATATATACGTATATATACACATATATACACACATATATACACATATGTGTATATATACATATAAAAATAATGAAAATAAATATATAAGTATATACATGCATATATTTATTTTCACCATTTTTTTGAGACGGGATTGTGCCGTGTTGTCCAGGCTGGAATGCAGTGGTGTGATCATGGCTTACTGTAGCCTTGGCCTTCCAGGCTCAAGTGATCCTCCCACCTCAGCCTCCTGAATAGCCTGGACTATAGGCTCATACCACCATGCCCGACTAAATTTTTTGTTTTTTGTAGAGATGGGGTTTCACTATATTGCCCAAGCTGCAAATATATTTTGAAAAGAGATTAATCCTCTGCTCGTTGAACCCAAAATGTGATGATAAATAGTAAAAATAATGTCTAAAAATAGGATTTATACTGAAATAAGTCATTTTATCAATCTCTTGCTTCATGCAATTTGGGGAACTAACTAAACACTCCTATTAAAGTGATCAGTAGCCAAGGAATCATTTGGAAAACAGAGATTACTAGAAACAGCTCTGCTTCTCTTACACAGCCAGGGTTTATTTTTCCTATGGCCATTGTGAACCTTGTAACTGTTTATTTCCTCCTTTGCTTAGACACTAGAAGCTCAAAGCCAAATCTGTAGTTCACGTGTGCAGAATCTTATTCCATATAATTTGTGAACAATTTTTAGTTCTAGCATTTTTACTTTCCTTTGCCTCTGTTTCTTTCTTTTCTTTTCTTTTTTTTTTTTAAGACAGTCTTGCTCTGTCACCCAGGCTGGAGGGCAGTGGTGCAATCTCAGCTCACTGCAACCTCTGCCTCCCAGGTTCAAGGAATTCTCCTGCCTCAGCCTCCCAAGTAGCTGGGACTACAGGTACCTGCCACCATGTCCAGCTACCTTATTGTATTTTTAGTAGAGACAGGGTTTCACCATGTTGGTCAGGCTGGTCTCAAACTCCTGACTTCAAGTGATCCACCCACCTTGGCCTCCCAAAGTGCTGGGATTACAGGTGCGAGCCACCGCACCCAGCCGGCTTGTTTCTTATTCATCCATTTTATCCTGTTGTATACATTTCTGAAACTCAGTTTAAAAAGTTTTTTGAACACATGGAAAACAACAAATTAAGCCTTCCAGTGGGAAGGTCTGGCATTAATTATCTGAAATGATAGAAGGTGAATACTTCAGATAACAATAATTTTTTTCACAGTTGTAATGATTTAAAAGCAACAAAAAGGGAAAAGTAGTTTCAGGTACCTGGACATATCTGCCAGACAGGTAAGCAGGTAGGTCAACAGTAATCTGAAAGATGCACAAACAGAATTACCCACCGTGCTGATTGAAACTGAACTAAAGGTATGATGTCAGAAAACTTCAACTGTGGTTGATAAAAATGCTTTATTTCAAAATAACAAAACAAAGTAGCTGAAACATTAGCTCCAGAACTCACTTAGGTGATTTGAGATCACGATGAATAATTTTATGGAGGTGCAAATAATTCATTCCACTTGCAATTCCTGTGGACCAGTCTACCAGCAATCGAGGCGTGATCTTCCTGCCAGCTCGCAAGACCTCATAGAGTTGTCCATGGGCACAGTATTCCATGATGATACAGTAACATGGGGCCTGAGTACACACACCCCTTCCAAGAAAACACAAACATGGACATAAATACACACATACATGTATACGTATTTATATTTTAAAAATATTTAATAAAAAGCAATTCTATACCCAAAGTATTTTAAAAATGTGTATGGATAATAGTTCCTGATTCTTAAATAAGCGCGAAAACTTCTCTAGTCTCCAGGTTTCTCTATGATGCACATAGACAATTTTTGTTTGCTTTGTTCACTCTATATGCTGTGCTGTCCTTGTCTGGTGCCTTTTCTGTGGGATCCTTCCATTCTGGGACAAATTACACACTTTTCTGAGGTTTGTGTAGGCTGGTTACTCTGTTGTTTTAGATCATTAAGAATAATTTGGCTGGGCGCAGTTGCTCGTGTCTGTAATCCCAGTACTTTGGGAGGCCAAGGCGGGTGGATCACTAAGGTCCGGAGTTTGAGACCAGCCTGGCCAACATGGTCAACCTGCATCTCTACTAAAAGTACAAAAATTAGCTGCGCATGGTGGTGCACGCCTCTAATCCCAGCTACTTGGGAGGCTGAGGCATGAGAATCGTTTGAGCCTGGGAGGAGGAGGTTGCAGTGAGCCAGGATTGTGCCACTACATTCCAGTCTGGGCAACAGAGTGAGACTCTATCTCAGAAAAAAAAGAAAAAAGAGAAAAAAGAATAATTTAAAATTTCTGTCTTTTAAAGTTAGAGGGTTTTATATGTAGTGTATGGAAAGATAATTCAGACAAAAAACTTCTATTTTTAATATTATTTGCTGACTTTTTAATTAATCAAATTAAAAATAACTAACTAGACTGAGGACCCAAGGATGAGTCATTTTTCTGTCTTACATACTCTTTGAAAAACATTTCTTTTTTTTATGTCAGACAGGTAATGTGCTGACGTCATAACAAGGTTGGAGGGGGCACTTCTCACCTGTGAGTGTGAACACCCAGTCATGCTTATGAATCACAAAAGAATCCGAAAAACATTATACAACTTTTTTTTTTTTAAGACAGAGTCTCACTCTGTTGTCCAGGGTGGAGTGTGCAATGGTGCAACCTCCGCCTCCCAGGCTCAAGCGATTCTCCTGCCTCGGCCTCCCAAGTAGCTGGGATTACAGGTGAGCACCACCATGCTTGGCTAATCTTTGTATTTTTAGTAGAGATGGGTTTTCACCATGTTAGCCAGGATGGTCTCAAACTCCTGTACTCAAGTGATCCACCCGTCTTGGCCTCCCAAAGTGCTGGGATTATAGGTACGAGTCACCACATCTAGCTTATACAACGTATTATATCTCTATGTAGCCTATGTTTGCATCAATTCCTACATCATCCATGAAACCTTTCCTATTTATTCCAATCCAAAAAGATCTTTCTCTTCTTTAAATTCCTATGAGATACGACAGCCACTAGTTCTTTATATGCAGTTTTTCTCTCTGCATATAGATTATAGGCTCCTTGAAGGCAAAGGTCGTCAAGTTCTTTTCTCTCTACCACAAGGCCTAGAAGTTCACAGCAAGTCTTTGACAAGTGTTTGTTAACTTCACCTCAAACTTCTTAACTAAAAAAGCCTTCAAATCACACGTGCGGAGGCATGGAGGAGGAGGAAGGATACTAACATGAAAGAACCTCTTCTATTTTTCAGAGACATTTCCATGTTTATGAGTCTTATTTAATCTGCCCCAAACCACTGTAAGATAGGTATTACCTTTTCCATTTTTACAAGTAAGGCTCACAGTGAAAATGTGACTTGTCCTAATCACAACTAGATCATACAACTAAAAAATGACAGAGCTGGGATTCAAACTCAGTCTGCCTAATTTGGAAGTCCGTGCCCTCTCTGCTCACTGTACAATACTACCTCTGTTTTAGCTTTTAAACTTCTGTTTAGACAAGCACATTAGGGATTCCTGTGTTAACACCATTATCTTATAAAAGAGGGAATGATCATAGTAACTCCACAGTTTTGTTCTCAGGATGAGAAGAAAAATTACTAAATGCAATTCTCTATGCTCTCTCTCTTGTGGGTATTCATGCCTTCTTGTGAAACTTTCTAGAGAAGTTAACAGAGTATCTATAAGACATCCAGTTAAAGTCTTCAGCCAGCTACCAACGCATGCCTTATCTCTTCAGCTGCTGTAAGTGATCAAAGAATTTAAAGGTCGCGGCTTAAGGCACCGATCATATGAAGGTGATGATGATCTTATAACAATAGCAGGTTATGAAGAAGTATAATTAGTCTTCATTTTCCCCTGGCCTGCTGTGCCTGTCAATGCCACAAAGCTATTACTCTCCTATCATTTTCTAAGCTACAAAGAATTCTTGTCTTGATTTTTAATAACTTTTTTTTTCCAAGTTCTGGTTATATGTTTCCTAGGAAAGCTTGGAAGCACAAGTGTCTGGCAATTACAAATAAATGAATAATTATCAGTACAGAGAAATAATAAATATGGCAGGTATAATGTAATATGCCTAAGAATATCAGCATAAACTTTTTTAAATTAAAAAAAAAATTTGTGTATGATGGAGTCTTGCTCTGTCGCCCAGACTGGAGTGCAATGGTGCGATCTTGGCTCACTGCAACCTCCACCTCCCAGGTTCAAGTAATTCTTGATGTCTCAGCCTCCTTAGGTGCTGGGATTACAGGTGCAGGCTGCCACACCCAGCTAATTTTTTGGCTTTTTAATAGAGACGGCATTTCACTGTGTTAGCCAGCGAAGACTGACCTTTTGATCTACCTGCCTTGGCCTCCCAAAGTGCTGGGATTACAGCCATGAACCACCATGCCCGGCCTAACATAAACATTTTTTGAAGGTACTCAGCCTCCTATTCAACCATGTTTTAACTTGTTACACATAGAAACGGTCTAACAGTGATATGTTATGCACCTTTCATCTCTCTTGACTGACGAATAAGAAGCAATCATTCCATCAGCTCTGTACTATGACAAGGTTTCTTAGTAGCTATAAATAGTACCTCTATAATCACTTCTAATTGCTACCTTTTCTTCCACTTGCCACTGAATTCCATTAGGAACAGTCAGGTTTTTTCTTAAAAGATTAACAAAAAAATTGGGTGTAAAAAGAATATAGTATTCTTATCTTGTACTTCCCCTTTCTGTATGTGGTTTTTATTAACTTCAAAAGAAGCTGTAAGCACAGAAATCAGCATCCAGAGAGATGCTCTAAAATCTAATCATGCCCTCGCATCTTCCAGACGGTCCTGAATGGGATTCATTGGCCAAGCAACACATGGCACAGATGGCTGCAAACACAACACTGCACAATGGCCAAGAGCGTGGTGTAATGGGCCGGGAGCACAGTCTCGCTATTGTTCTCCATATAGAGGTAAAGACTATTCAAGTATCTTCAGCCTAAAGAGTTGGGCACTAGCAGGGCAATGCTGAAAACTGCATATGCAGGTAGGAGAGTCAGAAGGGTGAGATGGGAAAAAGACAGGAAGAAAGAGAAAGAAGTGAAAGAAAGGAGGTAAAAATAAAGCTTTTCTTAACACCATCCTATTAGGGCACACTTCTACTTTCAGTGACCCAGGGTATCCTGCTGGAAAGCCCTCTTACCTGCCACACACAGCCTAAATCACTTCAAGAGGCCAAAAGCCATACTTTTTTTTTTTTTTTTTTTTTTTTTTTTTTTTTTTGAGACAGAGTTTCACTCTTGTTACCCAGGCTGGAGTGCAATGGCGCGATCTCGGCTCATCGCAACCTCCGCCTCCTGGGTTCAGGCAATTCTCCTGCCTCAGCCTCCTGAGTAGCTGGGATTACAGGCACGAGCCACCATGCCCAGCTAATTTTTTGTATTTTTAGTAGAGACGGGGTTTCACCATGTTGACCAGGATGGTCTCGATCTCTCGACCTCGTGATCCACCCGCCTCGGCCTCCCAAAGTGCTGGGATTACAGGCTTGAGGCACCGCGCCCGGCCTAAAAGCCATACTTATAGACAGAACATTCTGTGTCTCAAACCCAGCGTCCTAGTGATCTAAGTTCAAAAGCTTTTGACCCTTCCCTTCATTTAGGAGGATGTGGCCTACTGGAAGTAATGATCATCTCAGTGTGGGGAAACGAAGGAAAGAGAGAAGAGGGTCTCTGTTAAGTCTGTCTGCTTCACATGATCTCCCTGTGGTCTTTTGAAATTTATCCTCTTCGGAAGGATGATCATTGGTCTCTGCAGCATTCCATGTCAGTCACACATCCTCCTGGCCCTATGAGGGTGACCAAAGTTAGAATTACTGCAGCAACTGAAGCCCTCTCTCATGGCCTCTGCGTGAATGCCCCTTCCACAAGGAAATGAATCCCAGAACTACTTTTGGTCTCTTACGTCCTGGTTGAATGCTTCTCTTTTCTTTCTTTCTTTTTTTTTTTTTTTTTTAACACGTCTTTCCCTTTCCATAAGGGGTCTTGTTTGGGAATCAAAACTCAACCTCAGTACTCATTTAAACGCATTCTACAAAACCTGTACCCAAGATTTACCTTCCTTACTTTGTGGATGTGATTCCAATGAAGACTTATGACATGACATCTTTAGCTTTGTGATCAGTTTTATCAATGAAGGATCCCTTTTGAGGCTGGGAGAAGTTCCGCCTAGTTTAGGAGGGGAATTTGTAAATTATTCCACTTTTAGCTGCAGCCTCATTGGTCATACTACTTTCCAGGAATGCAAAATGCATATCAAATATACCACGAAGCTCTAGCTTCTAAACTTTCATCCTACCTAAAGATACTTTTCCTGTTCTTCACCTTCTTTCCTCTAGAGCCACTTGCCATTTATTTGTTTAAGCCTAGGGCAACATTCCAAGGCCGGCAAGGGAGAGAACTCAAGGAAAAGGTTCAGGCAGAGGAGATCATATCTATTTTAGAGTTCGGCACTTCCACAATTTAAACTTTGATTCTCCTTCTGTTAGGGATCCCGGTCAATATTATGAAAAGAATTGTCTAGACTAGAAAGATATGTTCACAGACTCTTGAAAACACTTTGTGAAATGAATATAACATACAACTTACTATCAATAACTTGACAATCATTAGGTTAAGAAAGCTGAATGTTTGATATTATTTGAAAGGGACTGTAGAAACACCAGAGGCTATACTCTAAAGGTACGTGCTATTACAAATTAATGTTCAGGAAGGGGTGCTAACAGAATCTGATACAAAATATGTATCTACTACACAAGGACTGATTGTTGTTTGATCACTTCAGATGTTGCTTTTGTTTACTTTCTTTCCTTTTTTTTCTTTTTTGAGAGGGTCTCACTCTGTCACCCAGGCTGGAGGGCAGTAGCCTGAACATGGCTCAATGTAGCCTCAACCTCCTGGACTCAAGCAGTCCTCCCGCCTCAGCCTCTTAAGCAGCTAGGACTACAGGCCTGTGCTACCAAACTCAGCTCATCTTCATTTTTTGTAAAGACAGGGTCCCACTATGTTGTCCAGGCTGGTCTCTAACTCCTGGGCTCAAGTGATCTGCCTGCCTTAGCCTCCCAAAGTGCTGGGATTACAGGCATGAGCCGCCATGCTTGGCCAACTTTGTTTTCTTAAGTGAATTTTAGGCTGCTCATGTAATACTGAAGTGACCTCTGTCATCCCATTCATAAATGAGGTTGATGCAGCAGATCTGACTCCTTGGCAGGAACCGACATTTTCCCTTCCTGCCCCACGTGCATGCCCCTTCCAAGCAGCACATATTTAGGCAAAATGAACTGCTGGATTATAAGATGCCTGAGGACACAACTCCAATTTAATAGTTCCTTGGTATCCTCCCAAAGCATCTAGCATAGTGCTAAGTCTAGAGAATGCTTTTGAAATATCTCTCAAACTAGAAAAGTGTGTGTATATACTGGGGGAAAGAAAATAGCTTTACTTCTTAAAAAAAAAAAAAGCCTTGACCTACTTGAATGCGATGATGTTAGGGTGCTTCAACTTCCTCAAATGCTTGATATCCGTCTCATTCTGTTCTCTCACTTTCTTGATGGCCACCTCTTCTGCTCGGAACTTGCCCAAGAAGACAGCTCCTTGGGCTCCACTACCCAGCCACTGTAGCTCTGAGATCTCCTCAAATGGCACTTCCCAAGTATCTAGGCACACAAGCAAGAAATCAGCTTGAAGAGACCTCAGAAGAGACCACCACTCTACAAGGCCATTCTGAAAGTATCAACTTCATCACCAGGATCACCCTTACCCACTGTCTCCCACCAAAAGATAGAACCTTCCTATGTGCTTTGGAACTGGATCAAATATTCATACACATTAGTCTGTATCCATTTTTAGCCACTGAAATAAAGCAGAGCAGAGGTCTCTAATATACCTTCCTCCAAACACATATCCCACCACTCCTGCAGCCCTACCTCCTCACCTTAAGCTTGCACGTCAGTCAACTTACCCATCCACCTCTATGCAACTATCCCTACCCCATCACCCACTATCGGTGCTATTTTATTCCTCTCTGAATTTCTAGTGTAGATGCTCAGTGAATCTTTGCTAATGAATTTTTTTTTTTTTTTTTTTTTTTTTTTTTTTTTTGAGACAGTCTTGCTCTGTTGCCCAGGTTGGAGTGCAATGGTGCAATCTTGGCTGACTGCAATCTCCACTTCCCAGGTTCAAGTGATTCTCCTGCCTCAGCCTCCCAAGTAGCTGGGATTACAGGTGCCTGCCACCATGCCTGGCTAATTTTTTTCTTTTTTAGTAGAGACGGGTTTCACCATGTTGGTCAGGCTGGTCTAGAACTTGTGACCTCAGGTGATTCACTCGCCTAGGCCTCCCAAAGTGCTGGGATTACAGGTGTGAGCCACTGTGCCCAGCTGCTAATTTTTAATGATGCTCATTAAAACTTCATTATGCATACTACTTACATTAATATTTACTTTTTGCTGAGTACTTACAATATACCATACACTAGCATAATGCTTTACATACATCATGTATTCAATCTTTACAATAACCCTACAAGTAGGGCCTTATTATAGTTATTTAAAGATGAAAAAAACTAAGGCATAGGGTGGTTAAATAAGTTATCCGAAAATCATATAGCTGATAAGTGGTAGAACTGGGCCCAGAACCCCAGAATTGGCCCCTTTTAGGAAGAGTGCGTTCTCTCCTATATGACATTGCCTCTCATGAAGTAATTCAGAAGTCATTAGTCATGATATGCTTACTCATGTAGCTGCAGTATTTTCAAGTTTCTCTTTTCCTTAGAGTTTGAATTTTTTTTGCATCAGAAATTTAAGAAGGGTCATTTCTAAGTGGTGGTATTATTAGTGCTTCATGTTATATTACTTTATTCTTTTCTGTCTTAAAAATTATTTTACCATAAGCCTGTATCACTTTTATAATGAATAAAATGCTATTTTTTTTTTTTAAAAAAAAAGCACTTCAAAAATTCAATCAATATGTGCTTTAATCTCATGAAACTTTCAGAACAAGAATGTAATCCATTGATCCTTCTCCTTTCCCTCTTCTTACCAAGGTATTAGCACAGGCAAGAAATAACTATCAAAGAGCTAGGAGTCCCACAGAGTAAGAAGAATGGCAACAGTGTGACAGGTCATGAGAGATTCTCCTCAGATCACTCGTAGGCTACCGTTTGCAGAACATGGAACAAAGTAGTGTTGAGTTAGCTTCCAAGATACTCTGGTCTTGAAAGCAAATCAACTCACTGTCCACTACACTGATGAAGTAAGAGCAGAAAGAGGTCGTCTGCCTCTAGAAGCAAGCTACTTTCCCCTCCTCTCTCATTTTCGAAAAGAAGTTCTGTAGATTCTTAATAAAATGTTTTCTCATTACAATTGCTAAAACTTAACCTTCAAAATATAACTATGTAGAGCAAAAATATATATAAAATGAGATGGTTTATGCTGTGGGCTTTCATCCCATTCTCTTGATATGAGCAGTATTAAAGGTTTCTGTTCCACTGAAATTGAAAAAATGCCAGATAAAAGCAAATATCTCTAAAACACAAATAGCTGACAAATTTAAAATCACCCAAGGCACACATGATACCAAGTGAGAATTGGGGGGAAACAGCAAGTAATAGCCTTGGCTATTTTAAATATCTTTAAGGTTTCTACACAAGTATTTATAAACGCCTCACGAAATCTCACTTTCACCTCCATGGGCTCATCCATGCAGCACACATGGTACGCAGATATTGATGGCATATTGTAAGAGAATTTTCCTCATTAGGGGTCCGGTGACAAATTAAAAACTGTCATTTTGACCATTCCGGGGATGCTGAATAAAGTATTATTGCTGGACTCTGGGGCAAGAACATAATCGAGAAGTCTGTCTTTGAACAACTTTACAGGAGCCCAAATTACCCTAATTTTTAATAAAATAACTACTAAAATTAGACAAATGTTTGGGTGTCTCTTTTCCCCGATTTATTCAATTTTTAGTTGCTGTTAAACATTGGAAACATTAGAAAAAAATCAGAAAAGTCAAAAAAACACACATTTTATCTGAAAGCTCATCCCACACCCACTTGCCATTTTCCCTCTTAGTTTTTGTTCATGTTTACAGCTATGTAAAAATTGCAGGCGATGTCTAATTTTTTTCTACCTTTTCACATATTATGTATCCTTCATGTAGTTACTATTTTTATTCTAAGTTCTAATAGTTGTTCTGTACCTTCTTACCTTTTCTGCCTAAGTATTTCCCCAGATTCGGTCCCTACGTTAAAGAGGACAGCTTCCTGGCTCTAGGAATACATACATTCCAAATTCTCTCCAAAAGGATTTTGATGATTTTTGGTCACAGTAGCAAAGTATGAACATGTTGGCGGTAAGCGTTAGCAATGATTTTTTGGTTCTATTTTAATTAGGTATAAAATATGTTTTATAACTTTGCACAAGTTTAATTGCCAGTGATGTAGAATATTTTCTCCACATTTGTTTAATACTCACATCTGCTTTGTATGAATTGTCAATACCCCTTTGTTCATTTATCTGTTAGGCTTTCATAGTTCTCATGAACTTGAAGAAGCTCCTTCTATATTTCTTTGATATAAACAAGAATATTTTTTATGAGCCTTTTTCCTTTAATTTTATTATTTTTGAATGATATATTCTATATTGTTGTCTATTATTTCCTTTGAAATTTCTTCCACTGCCTAGTCTATCTTCTAAAAGTTACCTACAGTTGAGTTTTAAGAATTTAATCTTGTGCCAGGCACAGTGGCTCAAGCTTGTAATCCCAGCACTTTGGGAGGCCACCGATCACGAGGTCAAGAGCTCGAGACCACCCCGGTCAACATGGTGAAACCTCGTCTCTACTAAAAATACAAAAAAATTAGCTGGGCATGGTGGCGCATGCCTGTAATCCCAGCTACTCAGGAGGCTGAGGCAGGAGAATTGCCTGAACCCAGGAGGCGGAGGTTGCGGTGAGCCGAGATCGCGCCATTGCACTCCAGCCTGGGTAACAAGAGCGAAACTCCGTCTCAAAAAAAAAAAAAAAAGAATTTAATCTTTACATTCATCTGAAGCTTACTTTGATGTATGGTATGAGGACAGATATAAATTATTCTTTTTCTGCATTGCTATTTAATGATTCCAAAATCATTTGTTTAAAAAAAATCCTTTTCATATTGCTTTATGATACTGACATTGTAACTCACCATATCATTTTTAGAAATAATGCCTATTAGTATTTTTATAGGATGATAGACAGATTTATCATTAAAATACAAATACATTTGGCACTCACATGCAAAGTATTCCCGGTATTGCAGTAAAAAACAAAATTCTCCTCTGCCAACCTCTACCTCATGCCTGTGCTATTCAACTATCTTCAGCCAAGTCCTGATTATCCATAGAAAAATAAAGTGTACAGCACTGGTAATAAAAGAACACAGAGTATAAAATAAGGAAAGTAATGCTTCAACCATGTTTCTATCAATCTTTTTATTGAAACTAATTATCAGAAGTAAAATCAATTGATATGAATGTAGCACTCTTTGCCCAGTCTCAAAGTCTCTGTCAATAACTAGCAGGGAGCTAAGAAATGGGAAAATGGCAGAAGAAAGGAAATTGGTGTTATGGATGCACAAAATTAGGGGCCTAGATAACTGATAAGCGGGATAACTAATCTCAGAATAACGAAGAACTGATGATACTCTCTCTAGGGTTAGTTCCAAACTTTTTGCTGCTTTTATGTCTGTCCCATTGATACTCTTCCCCAGCATTTCTCTTCTATTTTATTCTCCAGTGACTATATCTTAATTCCAATATCCTCTAGGTTCCTTAGGACTGAGAAAAAGCCACATGTCGACCCCCTTTAAGCCAACAGTTCTCTTTTGTTTATTCAGACATGGTTATGACAGTACTTGCTTGAGACTGGAAAGTATCTGACAATAAAAGATTTAAATTACATGCTACCTTACCTGGGCTCACTATCAACATACTCAAAGGGAGGTGAGGACATCATTAAAATTAAAAATCCAGTGAAATTTTCTCCTAAGTACCAAACATAGGAACAGGCCTGTGACACGTGCTATCCTTTGGTTGACTGCAACACAGGATTAAAGATTAGCTCCCTGATCCCAGACCTGACAAGGAAATTTACTAGTTTCTGGCTAGCAAAACTCTTTCATGGTGCACAGCAACACCAACCCTCAACAGGATATCCTGCAATCTACTGAAGGGCTAGGCACCTGCTGTGCCTGTATCAGAATCTTAAGCTGACCAGGCCTGTTTCTTACTTATTTCTGAAATAAACCTTTTTGAAAGTCACATCATCAGTTGGAACACAAATTAAATATCACTATGCAGAATAATGAAAAATTTTAAAACCTCCTTTTGACAAACATATGGAATGGGTGTATCATCCTTCATTCTGAGTCTCAACTTCCATGATGCACTTGGATCCTGAGATCTTCAAGTTATTACCAAAAGTAAGTCTGAAACTGAACAAGTGGAGACCCTAAAAACCAGCTGTAGTTGATCACCTATGCAGCTATCAGTGGGTTTTGCACCCAACGAAAGAACAGAGAACTTTGGAAAAAAGAAAACAGAAAACAAATTAGGGTTGGACGTGGTGGCTCATGCTTGTTATTCCAGGACTTTGGGAGGCTGAGGTGGGTGGATCACCTGAGGTTAGGAGTTTGAGACCAGCCTAGCCAACATGGCAAAACCCTGTCTCTACTAAAAATACAAAAATTGGTCAGGCATAGTAACGCGTCCCTGTAATCTCAGCTACTCAGGAGGCTGGTGCAGGAGAATCGCTTGAACCCAGGAGGCGAAGGTTGCAGTGAGCTGGCATCGCGCCATTGCACTCTAGTCTGGGAGATAGAGTAAGACTCCATCTCAAAAAAAAGAAAAAGTAGGAATGGTTATCTCTGGATTGTAGAAGGACAGGTGATGTTTATTTTCCTCTTTATTTTATTTTCCTGCTTATGTTTATTTCCCATTTAAAATGTAATAATGCTGGTAGCAAGAAGCAACTAATTTCCTTTAAAAACTTGAAAATAACAGGGGCCAGGAGGTGGCGGGAAAATGAAAGCAGAATGTATAGAGTATCAGAGTCTATATGAAAGAGAGAGAGAAAGGTATGAGTTCTCTCATCAAGAAATGCTGGAAAGAAAAAATATGGACCGAAAATGAGATTCTATTTTTTTTATAACTGAATTTTAGACTCTGGGACCCTCCCCTAAAAGTCTGTTCATGTCCATGAGTCAAGACTGTTGACAGCTTTTCCACAACAGCCAGTAGACTTCAGTTACTGACAAAGAATTTCTGCGTGGAGCAAGAATAGATAATATGGTTGACAAATCCTAAAAATGACCTAGAAGTGAAATGCCAGTACATCCCAATATACTTATGGAAAACAGGTATAGCAGGAGGAGTTGGTATTTGGTTTAAGAGAATGTATTGCAGAAACAGGGGAAATAAAATACGTGAGAAAAGTGGTTAATGGCAACTGAAGCCTACTGGCCATTGTGGAAAAGCTGTCAACAGTCTTGACTAAAAGACATGAACAGACTTTTAGGAGAGGATCCCAGAGTCTAAAATTCAGTTGTAAAATAAGTAGAATCTCATTTTTGGTCCATAGTTTTTCTCTCCAGAATTTATTGATGAGAGAACTCATACAAATTTAGTCATTTACATAAGGCTACAAAGATATGTATAAAAGTCTTAAACAACACATCTTTTAACTCAACTATTTCTCTCTTAGGAATTTATCCTAAGAACTAATCAAAGATATATGCAGAAGTAAAGTACTAGACGAATGTTCATTGCAGTATGGCTTGTAATAACTAAAAATGCAAATAAATTAATGTTGAGCAATAGGGGATTGCTTAAAAATATTGGCACAATCACAATTTAATATTACGTAGCCATTAAAGATGATGGTGAAGAATTATACTTAAGACATGGAAAATGTTCGCAATGTGAAGTAAAAAAAACCTTTCAAAACAGTATGTGATATGGTTTGGCTCTGTGTCCCCACCCAAATCTCATCTTGAATTGTAATCCCCACCTGTCAGGGGAGGGGCCTGGTGGGAGATGACTGGATCATGGGGCGGATTTCCCCTTTGCTGTTCTCGTGATAGTTAGTGAGTTCTCATGAGATCTGGTTGTTTGAAAATGTGTGGCTCTTACCCCTTCTCTCTCCTGCTCTGCCAGGGGAAGACCTACTTGCTTCCCCTTCACCTTCTGCCATGCTCCTAAGTTTCCTGAAGTCTCCTAGCCATGCCTCCTGTTAAGCCTGCAGAACTGTGGGTCCATTAAACCTTTTTTCTTCATAAATCACTCAGTCTCAGGTAGTTCTTTATAGCAGTGTGAACACAAATTAATGCAGTATGACTCCATTTTTAAAAAGCATACACACACACACATATACAAACAGACTAACAATATATAATGAAAACATGAATGGATATTCTCAGGAGATGGAGGATCATAGATTATTTATTTCTTGGAACTTACCTGTATTTTCCAAATTTCATACATATATTACTTTCGTTATCAGAAAAAAAAAAGTTCTTTTGGAGAATACTAATGAGGTTATACAAGACCATGTCCTTGGCAAGAACATGAATGGCGCCAGAGGCCACTGTCCTTAGCAAACTAATGTAGGAACAGAAAACCAAATATCATATGTTCTCACTTACAAGCAGGAGCTAAATGATAAGAGCATATGGGCATACAGAGGGGAACAACACACACTGGGGTCTACTTGAGGGTGGAGGGAGGGAGGAGAAAGAGGATCAGATAAAATAACTATTGGGTACTGAGTGATGAAATAATCTGTGCAGTAAATCCCCATGACACAACTTTATCTATACAACAAACCTGTGCGTGTGTCCCTGAACCTAAAATAAAAGTTTTTAAAAATGAGGTTATAAAGAACACCAGGGCGTCAGAAGTATAATTCTAGTATTTGAATTAGAATATATGAATATACTGTTACATAATGATGGGAGTTAAAAACTTAAGTTTTTTTTTTTTTTTTTTTTTTTTTGAGTCAGAGTCTCACTCTGCTGCCCAGGCTGGAGTGCAGTGGCACAATCTCGGCTCACTGCAACCTCTGCTGGGCTCAAGCAATTATTGTGCCTCAGCCTCCCAAGTAGCTGGACTACAGGTGTGTGCTACCACGCCTGGCTAACTTTTGTATTTTTAGTAGAGATGGGGTTTCTCCATGTTGGCCAGGTTGGTCTCAAACTCCTGACCTCAAGTGATCTACCCGCCTCAGCCTCCCAAAGTGCTGAGATTACAGGTGTGAGCCACCACACCTGGTAACAATTTAAAAATATGTAGCCACTGCATGATTTCTTTACATGTTATATATCAGCACAACTATATTAAAACATGAAATACATCTGATAATGTATGAAAATAGGAATTTTAAATGATGAGATAAATAGGAGCTCTCATGTTTTCTTCTTAGAATCCCATGGATTGTTTTATATGTACTGTTCTTTAGACACCACTAGAGTGGAGGACCATAAAAAAGATGGGCTACCACCAAAAACGACCCACCAAATGTGAATCTCTTCCCTTCAGCAGGTCTGCTGGAAACTGAAATGGGGTATTCATCTGGCACTAGCTCTTTCATTTGCCCCAAGGTCGCAGGTTACCCAGCTAATGGTGATGGTGGTGGTGATGCAGTGTTTATGCAAGAATTATCTTCGAAGTCCATACCCTAGCTTACCTTGCTGCTGCAATTTGTAGTCAGTGGAATATGCCTTCCCAATGATGTTCCATACAGGCCTTAAGCATCCAAAGAGTCCTTCAAGAAACCCACCACTGCCACTGCCTGACCTGCTGAACTGAATCTTGATGTCTTCAGTTCCGCTCGTGCTCTCTCCGTCCACTGTGTTGCTGTTCCCCTGAGACACCACCATCTCTGATTCATCGTGTTCCCTTAGCTGAAGAACGCTGTTCTCAAACTGGTCCCTGGAATCCTCACTTACGCTTGTCAACACTGTTGTGGTGATGGGGCTGTTCACGCTCTCGGCTAGCTCTGCTCGTGCCATCCCCTTTTCCGGCTGGTCCTCGAGCTTGGGAGAAGGCTGGTTCCCCATGGCTGTGAGTTCATCTTGTAGTCCACTGAAGGTTTTGCTTTCACTGAAGGGTAAGTGTGGAGAAGAGGAGCAGCTCAGGCGCTCCTGAAAGTTGGCCATTGTGCCATGAGTGTAACTGAGGTCCTGAGATGATACTCAGAAGATTATTAGGGCAGACTTCTGACTTAAGAGAGGGCTCCAAAACCTGAGAAAATCAGGAGGGAGATAAGAGATCATCCTTTCCTTATTATGCACACTACAACACTTCTGTTTGCAGTAAAAAAATTAAAACAATGGGGATTGGTTAGCCTGTGGGTTAGTCTACAAGATGGAAATGTGTACAGCAATGAAAAATTATGCTATGGAAGAGTATGAACATGACAAAATATCCATGACATATTAATATAAAAAACAGGTTAGAACAACATATACATTAACTTAAAAATGTTCTTAAAAGAATATACCTATAAGAAAAAAGACTTGAAGGAAAATAATCCAAAGAATTAACAATAGCTAATTTTAGGTGGTTAGATTTGGGAGAGGTTTATATTGTTGTGATTTTCATGGTATTCCAAGCATTCTGTATTAATATATATGATATTTTTAATCAGAAAAATTGTTTCCCTTTCTGCAAGGGAAATTTGGTTGTTCTGATATACAAATTTTATTAGAAACTACATCCTGTGTTATTCTAAGTTGCTACTCATCTTTTCTCTTTGCTTTCGTGTCTTATCTAGTGGGATGCTGCTTCGCTTTATAAGGCATTCATTAAGTCATGGAGATAAATGCCATGTGTCTGTGACAAGACACATTTCTAAGATGTAAAATTTGTTTCTATTGTACTGCACCAAATTTGGAGTAATGCGACTAAACCCTAGCTCTTTAAACTTGTTCTTTGCTTCTGATCTGTCTGTTAGCACCATTTCTTGGGGCCACCTAATCTTTAAAAGTGAAGATGTATTCTAGATTGGCCAGGTTATGCATAATCAATCTTAAATTTATTCAAAGTATGTTCTTTTTTCTTTTCTTTCTTTCTTTCTTTTCTTTTTTTCTTTTTTTTTTGAGACAGTGTCTTGCTCTGTCACCCAGGCTGGACTGCAGTGGTGTGATGTCGGCTCACTGCAACCTCCGCCTCCCAGGTCCAAGCAATTCTCCTGTCTCAGCCTCCTAAGTAGCTGGGATTACAGGCACCCGCCACCACGTCCAACTAATTTTTTTTGTATTTTTAGTAGAGATGGGGTTTTGCTATGTTGGCCAGGCTGTTCTTGAACTCCTGACCTCAGGGTGATCTGCCTGTCTTGGCCTCCCAAAGTGCTCGATTACAGGCATGAGCCACCCCGCCTGGGCCAAAGTATGTTCTTAGCAGAAATTTACTTTCTTTTTAAATCCCTATGTAACAGTCATCCCTTCCATCACTCTGTACTAAGCATCTAGAATGTACTAGAGGTCAGGGTATGAAGATGACCTCATTTTCCCGAGGGGGTAAAAGAAAAGACCAACAAAGAATGACAGAACAGTGCTTATAATGAATCAAGCAAGTGCTCTGAGAGCACAGCAGAGGGAGGAGTAGTTCCAGGGAAAGGGGCTCAAAGGTGGTAGGTAACTTTTGATCCATCTGAAGGAAGTATAGGCATGCATTAAGCAAGTCAGAAAGGCGTGAGTGAAAGAAGAGGGAGAAGGTATTCCAGGTGTGGGGGAAACCACAAAGAAAGGCACGAGAGCTTGAAAGACTATGAAACAGAGGAGAAATCCAAAGCGGCTGGAATTTTAAGCAAGGGAGTAATTTGGCCAGATAAATTAAAACCACATCTATAGAGGCAGAGGTGGATGGACAGGGAAAGACGGAAGGTCCAGTTAGAAGGTGTGGTTCAAAAAGAAATGAGTTGGATCTGAACAAGGCAGTTAGCAATGGCAGCGAAGAGGACAGGAACGATTTAAGAGGCAAAATGGGGAAGATGTAGTAACTGATTAGACATGGAGGTGGGTAAAGAAAAGCAGGGAGGAAGACTTTTCAAATCGCTTACTTGGAATAATGGATAGCCAGACAAGTGTCAATAACTGAGATAAGAAATGCCAGAAAGAAAGAAGGTTTGGAGAGAGGATGATTAGCTCAACTTACGGACATACAGAATTTAAGGCCTCCTATGCATCACGCACTGAGCTAGGGAGCTGCGCTTTATTGATGCTATCTGATTTTTAAAAGATACTTTGTAGAGGAAGATTGGAAGAAAGATAAAGATGGGGCTCATTTATCACAGGGATAGTAGTTTCCAAATCATAAAGCTAAATTTAAAATGCATTTATTGAATAGCTACTCAGCCTACATAACATGGCAAAACCTCATCTCTACAAAAAATAGAAAAATTCACCAGGCATGGTGGTGTGCACCTGAAGTATCAGCTATTTGGGTAGAAGGCTGAAGCAGGAGAATCGCTTGAGCCCAGGCGATCCTGCTGCAGAGCTGTGTTTGTGCCACTGCACTCTAGCCCGGGCGACAGAGTGAGACCCTGTCTCAAAAAAGAAAAAAGAACATATACTGAGAGCTGTGGCATGTAGTAGGCCAGGTTCTGTGGATACAGAACATTACTGTTGCCATTACTATTTTTAATGATAAGTAAGACAAAGTGCTTTACAATTCACAGAAGCCTGTTTACGTAATCAGCAATACACTGGTAAATCAGCTCTTTCCGAGACAACAGCAATCTGATTTGTAGTGTTTGCTAATTTCCCTGGTGTAAATATTCCTACCATAGCAGATTTCAAGCTAATAAAAGTTTAACAACTTGCTTGCAAAGTTTCTAAATATTTGACAATTGGCTCGTACAAGCTGGTGTATGAGCCAGTGCCAGCACCATATCATTGCAATGGTGTCGTTTCTATTTCACAAGAGACGAAACTTCTCTAAGGTGATATATTCAGTAAGTAATAGAGCAGGAATTAAAATCTAGCTCAAAGTTCAGATTCCTGAAATCCTTTGTCTTTTTTATAACACGATGGAAAACTTATGATAACTCCTCACTTTCTTAGAGTGCTTTCCAGGTTAAAAAGTGCTGTTATCTGTGATCATTTGATCTAAGTATTTGATCCCTAGGTAAGAAATCCAGAACACAGAATGATTATCCCTGTTTTCCACAGAAGGAAACGAAGGCCTAGAAAGAGGTAGATGATAACGGTCAGAGCCAGGATGAAATACCAGGTTATTTTTCCTAATCACAACACTCTCTCCTGTACCATGCAGTCTCTAAAGACATGGTTCCTACGCTGTTGAAGCTCATGGACTACTTAAGGAGTTAACGATTACACTGAAGGAATTACCTCCCACCATCATCCCCTGTGACAAATGAGCCATATTCCATTCTACAGAGCCAAGAGAGATGGGAACAATGAAAACAGAGGTAGGATTTGAGATGAACCTTAAGGTGTGTGACAGGGGGAAGGAAGTCAGGGGATAATAACAGCATGGGCAGAGACAGGGAAGTGGAATGACCAGGGTGTGTGTGAGGGGGCTGCTGACCCAGAAACAGCAGTGGCTAACGTGGGGGAGCAGTGTGCAGCAGGGGTAACTCCTGCTCCCCATGTGGGCTCTGAAAGCTTATGATACAATGCAGGTGATTCTTCCCTCCTAACAAACCAGAGAGATCACTTTAACTGGATGGGGTTAGCTTAAGAGGCACTGAAATGATAGAGTATGGAGAAATCCAGGCCTTGGGAAGCTGCCTGGGAATATAAGGTTGGGGCAGGGGGAAGAAAGAAGAAAAACTGGATCCCTCTGTGACAGCAACAGCTATTTGCTTGAGTTGACCCTATTCTGCCCACTCCAGCCCCGCTCCCCTGTCCTTCCGTGCTCATCTCTGAGCTTTGACATCACCGATCTCCTCATTACATTTTCTTTCTGATCACCTGCCCCCACCTCGCGCTATCTCCTGCTTTTGGCCTCTCTGACCTTGCCCTGCCTGACCTCTTTTAAGACTGCTGATTTCATACTATCTGACCTGGCCACTGACTCAGCAGGTACTTCCAGTCTGCTTTGGCTGCTGGGACTCTTGGTTATCCTATACAGCAGCAGCTCCCAACCTTTTTGGCACCAGGGACCAGTTTTGTGGAAGATGCTTTTTCCATGGACCAGGGATGGGGGATGGTTTCAAGATGATTCAAGTGCATTACATGTATTGTGCACTTTATTTCTATTATAATTACATCGTAATATATAATGAAATAGTTATACAACTCACCATAATGTAGAATCAATAGGAGCTCTGAGCTTGTTTTCCTGCAACTAGACAGTCTCATCTAGGGGTGATGGGAGAAAGTGACAGATCATTAGGCATTAGATTCTCATCAGGGGCACACAACCTAGACCCTAGATCCCTCGCATGCACAGCTCACAACAGGTTTTGTGCTCCTATGAGAATCTAATGCCCCCACCAATCTGACAGGAGGTGGAGCTCAGGTGATAATACAAGTGACAGGGAGTGGCTATAAATACAAAGGAAGCTCCATCCCAGCCACCACTCCTGCTCACCTCCCTCAGTTCAGCCCAGCTCCTAAGAGGCCACGGACTGGTACCTGCCCATGGCCTGGTGGTTGGGAATCCCTGCGATACAGCACAAGTCGTATATACCATTGGCTCATGTGAATTGCATGCCCAAATATGTATGTGAATTTCAGCCAAACACTTATTTGTGTGATTTATTTTTTTGAATCAAACTATCAGGCTTTATATTAATTCCTGGTAAATTTCCACTTTGTCAATTTTTTATCCTGAATTTCTGCCTAATGACATCATGTTAGGATGAGTTCATACATAAAAAGTTAGAAAAACATCTGTTTGTTTTGTAATCTTTTTCTATCTCTAACAGGATAAGAATGAGTGTGAAGTAGACCTGTTCCCATTGGGATGGGAATGAGTTTCATCCCAGTCATCACATGTAGTTTGATATTTAAGAGATCAGGGAAAAACAACACAATCAAGGAATATGTTTCAATCCACTTATTTTACACATGAGAATCAAATTTCCGAGAGATTGCCAACTTGCTTAATATTAACTAACTAGTGGGTGGAGCTGGGATAAGTCTTCCTTCCTCGGCCCAGCTCTTTCCACTAGTATGGTTGTTCATCTATTCAAAGAGAAACAAATAGCCATGGTATGATGGCCCCCTGGTGATGAAAACAATGGTAATTCACAGTGTGATTCTAGATGCACT